CGGCCTGGCTGTGGGGCTATACTGTGGGGCTGGGACCCAGCTGTGGGGCTGGGGCCGAGTTCTTGGGCTGGGGTGAAGCGGTGGGGCAGGGCTGTCTGGTCCTGGCTGGGCTGTGGGCCTGGGGCCTGGCTGTGTGGCAGGGCTATGCTGTGGGACAGGGCTGTGCGGTCATGGCCTGGCTGTGGGGCTGGAGCTATGCTGTGAGGCCAAGACATGGCTATAGGGCTGGAACTCAGCTGTGGGGGCCATACTATGGGGATGAAGCTTGGCTGTGGAGCCGCGCTATAGGGTCAGGGCCTTGCTGTAGGGCTGGAGCTACGCTGTGGGGCCAGGCTGTGGGGCAGGGCTGTAGAGTTGGGGCCTGGCTGTGGGGCTGGAGCTGTGCTGTGGGACCAGGCTGTAGAGTCGGGGCCTGGCTGTGGGACTGGGGTTATCTGTGGGTTCAGGACCAGGTCTGACTGTAGGGCTGGGACCTGCTGTGCGGATGGGGCTGTGCTGTGGGACCGGCAACCCAAGCGGGGGCGGGTCTGCCCCCCAGCCTGCCCTGCCACGCCGTGGGGCCGCAGGCTCTCGCCAGCTCTGCTCCACTGCAGCGTCTGGGGCTGCGAGGCTGCAGCCCATCTCTGACTGTCATTTCCCCTCCCAATTCCTCCAGCACTTCAGGCAGCCTATGCCTAAAATGCGCCAGATTTAAACATCCTGAGTCACCTTTTCACGGTAAATCTCCAATATACATATATGTATGCTGCTGGAGTGACACGGACCCTCGCTCGGGAGAGTCTGGCTGTGACTGGCAGGTTGTTTGGGTTTTATTTTCAAATTGTCAATATAGCACTGATAGTCGATATCTGCCTCAATGCATTTGGGAATCCCTCTTTGGAGGATGCGGGATTACAGGCTTTTAGCTTTCTGTATTCGTTTTGTTGCCTTGGAGTTTATTTGTTAGGCAAGGTAAATCAAACACCCCCCAACCCCCATCCTTTTGACGCACTCCTAGGAAACTCTGGTGAGTCACTCGCGCTGCGCGTCTGCATTGCTGCTGGCCGTAGCTCTGCCGCACACTGACTGTGTGCGTGATAAACAGACCACCAAAGCGGCTGAGGGACCGATCTGCCCGGCTCCTGGAACGGCTTCGTACTGCCAGCTTGCCAGGGCATGCCTGTACACCACGACTGTGCATCGTCTTTGCTAGGCGTTAACTTACTGATTGTTTCCATTTCAGCGAGACAAGAGGTAGAAGAGGAACAGTGTTAAATAACACATCACTGGCAAAAGGCCCAACAGCATCTATTTTCCGACTCTTTTCTTATTTGAAAGGGGAGCCTGAGTATGGGTATCCTACTTGGAGTAACAGACAACTTGCACGTTTGAAAAAAGACACTGGGTTATGAACCCAGACACAGACAGTTTTTTTTCTGAAGAGCGCTGAAAGCCAAAATAAACCAGCCAGTGATGGTGTAGGTTGTTCCCTTTTTTTTTGTTTGCTTTGGGGTGATTAGCAGCAGGCCAGTCTGCAGGTACCTTTACAAATATTGGAGAGTGCCAAATGACCTCATGCAAAATTTACATTTTTTTCCCTTGACCAATCCTGCTACATAAACCATAAAGAAGGAAGAAGAGGTAAGTGTCCCCTGTCTCAGATCTCCAGGGTATCATTGCAAGGGTAATGACACTTGCCAACTCTCTGAGTTTTTCTGCTGCTTTATCCTTGGAAAGCAAAGTGGTCTGAATGAAACTTATGGTGGGAAACACGCACTAGTTAGTTAGTGTCTGCCTTCATCTTTAACGGAAGGCCTATATCAATCTCTATCAAGCAGAACAGCTTTTGATCGGCAGAGAAGTCAAAATGGGTTTCTCTACGTTGAATCAGACATGCTCAACCTCAAGGGTTTTCAAAGAAGAGATTTTTTAAAAAATGAAGTGTAGTCAGTCTTACCTTAAAGTCCACACTGGGAACTTAACCTTGCAGTGCAGGACCAGCAGAAAAGCCAGATCTGTCACTCATCTGCCACTTCCAGTAAGTTTCTAGCTTCAGAAAAAAAAAAATGTGTTTTCTCCATCAAAACCTTTCCTTCGGTTGAAAAGTGTGCAACTTCCTACTGCTCTAGGTCAACTTTAAATGATTTGATCTGAGACAAAACTAGCACCTATGACTATATCCTGCTGTACCTGAATCTGCCGTTATGGAACCATAGAATTGCTGTCTGCCTATACTGTGCTAGACCAGATTTGTTGCTATTATTAGGTAATACGTAGCATAAAAGCGGAAGCTGTAGGGAAAATTCAACTCTCCAGAAGTTTTCTGGCAAGTTTCTGTAACTTTTCTCTCTACTCCCCTATCTGCAGGTGTCTTGAGAAGCAATGGCCACAGCGGCTCTTCTGAACTTGGCACCATCTGACTGCTATTTCCCTTCAAGCACAGCAGCTGCTTTCTTTTGGACAAAAACCCTCAACATGCATGTGACCAGGCCAAAATCTGCCAAGGGACGCACACGGTCAAGCTTCAATTACTCTCACCGAGTGGAAGCCTATCCTTGCAGAGTGCCATCTTCCTCTCCGCCAGCAGCTGCCCATGAATCAGCAAACAGCCAGAGAACATCATCAACAAACCTGGTATTCCCGTCTGGCCAGGTGTCTCCTGAAGAAATCCCGGAGCTCCTGCAGCAAGTGCCTTTGAGGACCTCCTCTTCCCTGAAAAAGTACAGGGTGCTCCCTTCCATCAGCAGGAAAGGCTTAGGGAACAGCGCTGTGGAAATGGTAACAGAGCAGACCAGCAGACTGAAAATGAGTAGGAGTCAGGAGGAAGTTCAAAAACTCAAACCTCTTTCTACAGAGCGAGGATCTGCCACCATATTGTCAGAAACTGAAAGGCCTACTGAAGAAGGCTCACGTGCTCAGTGTCCTCCTTCTGAGAGACCAGGAAGGAAAATGAGACAAGAGAGCGCTTCGTTGTCCACTTTAAGTTTGGAAGAGCCACCAAAAGAAGAGCCAAGTTTGCTGCTTGCTATTAGATCTCCATCTGGTCAAAGATTTGAGCATCATTTCAAGCCCACAGACAGTCTTCAGACAGTCCTTGCTGTGGCAGAACAGAAAACCACCACCAAATACGAACACTGTAGTGTTGAAACCATGGAGGTACCTAGAAGGAGTTTTTCTGACCTTACGCGGTCCCTCCGCGAGTGTGGAATCCTCCACAAGTCGGTACTGTGCATCCTACAGAAAGAGCGGCGAGAGGCAGATCTCTCGGGGTACGAGGACTGCAGCACAAACTCCACCACACCTCTGTAGGTAATTCTGCTGAATGGGATGCATTACTACTTGTCAAGCGGCCCCAAAACTGAAACAATCTGATGTTTCATGGGCCTCCTTCTTAATCTTATCGTCTTCCAAAAGCTTCCTTTGAAGTAGACTTGTGTATATAAAAGGAGTGTGTTGAAATATTGCTTAATATTGCTTATACCTACTGCATTAACCAGATCCTTTTTTTAACATGTACAATCGTAAATTACTTCTTGAGCACCACCAGCTTTGGCCTTTTTGCAATGGTCCATTTTCTTCTTTGAAGACTGATGTTTCTGATGCATCCTTTCCTTGGAGTAGAAGACCTCTTCTGTTGTCTTTTTTTATATTTCAGCACTGTACCACTTCCCAGAAGGGATTCTGATTCAGAATAACATATTTGGGAAAACAGAAATAGAACTGTTTTACTTTGTATGACTGTCTACAGTAGATCAGCATCCTAAAGCATCTTCTTAACCTCAAAAGTGACTAACTACAATCAAATCTGAAAAACATCTGAAAATAAGAGCAATAACACGTTACAGATAGTAGATTATTGTGAAGTATTAAATACAAGGTCAATGGCAATATACCTTTGAGAGCTCGGCTGTTCCTGGATAACCTCAGTGCCTCGTTAAGGAGTGTGACTACATTGTCCTTGCTAGAACAAATGATTAATTTTTGGCTGTATTGGAGAGTAGCAGGATTTCCTTCCCCTTGTTTTTCTTCTTCTCTCAGTCAACTGGTACGATTCATAGTTAAGAAAGGATTGCCTCCTTGGGCTGCTGTTACAAAATACTGCCATTTAACACTTCTACAACTGAATTGAGTTAGCTCAAGAAAGTAAGTAAGTGATGCTTTGAGAGTTTTGTTCGTTTTTTTTAAATATTAATTGGATTTGGCTGGGGAATTGGCTCACCCAGTAGATCATATTTTACTAGACTATTATGGCTGGCTCTTTCAGAATTATTTCATTTAAAAAATTTACTAGAGTAATTTGGCAGGTTTTGGTATAAATACAGTGTGCTTGTATTTAAAAAAAAAAAAAACAAAAACCTTCTAAGTTTCTGGTGGAACGCCTTACAGTTCAAAGGCAATGATTAACTCAAATAAAAATGGCTTAGGCTATGGAAGAGGACAGCTTGCCAAACCACCAGGCTAATTTTAATATTGTGAGGTAAAAACCAAATTTTTTACCTCGGTGTAATTGCCTACTTACTTACTTACTTAGAAAAATAATAGTAGGAGAAAACTCATTCTGGTGTTGACCAAGAGCAGAGAATCTTATTCTCAAGCAAGTATTCGGGGTCCACCGGTTTATAAAAATAGTATCTGCTGAAATAATAGGCAGGTGGTAGTAATTCAACAGTAGCAATCCCAGTGCCTTCAGGGAGACCAGGCTAGCAAAGCATATGGGTGCGCATTATCAAACCTCTTTGGGGAACAATGTATTTCACTTAAACATTCAGGAAGAAGAAAGAACTGTGTGAACCACTTTCTGTATTTAATTCAGTGTTTGATGATTAACAAGACACCTGGATAAAACAGCAGAGTGAGCTGTGGCACTGCTGGCCAGAACACTCTAAGTTTGAGCCTGCTCACGGTAAGGAATATGTCATACCCCATTTTTGATAATGCTGCACTATTATCTAGTGATCCCTGCCCTTCAGGGTGGTGGTTTTCTCTTTAAAATGGGATTACAACACGTGATCAGACAGTATCATTTTTACTTCCCTTCTTCTACTGGGAATCTAGCTCTTTTTCCCCTGCTTTTGAGCCTCTAACTGTGTCACACATCACATCTTTGCTGGGAATAAGGAGCAGGACAGTATCAAGAGCAGCCTTGCTGTAGGGAA